AAGTGTGTATGATTGTTTGTGTGTGTTTATGTATATGTGTGTGTGAGTTTGTGTGTGTGTGAGAGCATATGTGTGTGTGTGTGAGAGAGAGAGAGACAGACAGACACACAGACAGACTGACGGGCAGAATAGATGGTCAGAATGTGTAGACATTTTTTAAAGTGTCACTGTTGCAAGAAAAATGCTGAACTTGGTTTGACCCTACTTTGATGGCTGAGGATAAAATTTGAATTTAATCAGTTTTGTGGTATTGCAGTGATGGGGTTACTATGGATAAAGAAAATTTTTTGTGTCTGTTTTAGTGGAGTATGGATTTGCCTATATGTTTGCATGCATGCGTCATCTTGTGGCTATTAGCTGTAAATTACTGCATCTACTCAAAAGAGTGCTGGTGATAAGAGGACACCACTGGTAAGTTCTACTTCTTAATTGTTTCACTGTTTTTTCTGTCTGTCTTTATTGCTTTTTCCAAGCACTAAATTTATTCTTCTGTGTTAATTTGTTTCTATTAATTCACACAAAACTCAAACTCAGAAGTTTTGTATGAATGAGTGTACTTGTGTGCTCATGCATATACATGCACTTGTTGTTTTTTTTAAAGAATGAGATGTCATACTATTGTGTTGAGGTTTCTCTACAATGTATTTTATGATTTTGACAAATTATAAGGCCTTTTGCAGCTTTAATAGTTTACTGTGGGTTTTTTTATGTTGAGCAATCAGTAACGCTTACTTTGTGGAGGGTAGGTGGGTACTATGGTGTGGTTTGTTTCTTTCCTATCACACATCTATCGTCCTTATCTCTCCTCCTTCTTTTTTGTGTTTATTACTCTCTTGTAATACCTGTAATCTTCGGCACTTATATAACCTAATTGTTTTGCAAGTGCCGTAAAACTCTTACTAAAAACATATGAACACTTATTTCTTTGTACATCTCAGGAAACTGAAGCAGACTGCGGAGCTGAAAGATTCGTCACTGGAGGAAATCAACGCCAAGTTTGTGTCTCTGGACCGGGAGAGCAAGTCCCTGCGACAGTCGGTGGACAAGATGAAGGAGACCTGTGCCAAAGTGAGGGAAATGGAGAAGGAGAACAAAGAACTGCTGCAGGAGCTGAACACAGACAGGAGGACTCTGGCCACGCTACGAGAGGTGACTGTTGACTTACAACCTTTTGTTTCAGTGGGTCTAACTTCGTCTCAGAGTTTTGAGTAAAGCAGAATATATACAGTCAGGCACGAATAACTCACACACGTTAGGAATTGACAAATGTGTTCGGCACATCCATAATGCGGGTTGACCGATCACGAAAAATTAAATAGGTATCTTTTGGGGAATGGCAAATTGTACGAACTATCCATGATTTCGAGTGTTCTGTGTTCATGCTATCTGTGCCCAACTGTATGTAGAATAGAGTAAAGCTGAAAACTGTAAGAAGTGGAAGAAGCTGACCCTAAATTCATCAGAGGTTGGTACCCCAGCAGTCAGTCAGACAGCTGGATAGATGAAGGTGAGGAATATAACCCCTTCCCACATTAGGACAATCACGGCCCATTGTTTCCAGTTCATGTAAGACAAAGCTGTGACAGCCATGGTGACCACTAATGTTGGGCCCTTGGTCAAGCAGTGAAAAATAGGGAACTATACTTTACTATCATTGGAGTTGATTTGTTTCAGTGGGTCTATATATGGGGGGATGTACTATTTCTGGTATGGTAAGGTCACTTAAGGGTCATATGTTAACTGATAGATTTTGGGTCAGAAAAGGAGGTGGGAGGACAACATTACAGAGTGGACAGGAAAGACGATGGGTGACAATCTGAGGAAATCAGAGGACAAAAATAGATGGCAGGAGCTGGTTTTCAGATGCAATGGTGCCCCCACAGTTACCCCAACCACGGGATAGAAGAAGAAGAAGAAGAAGAGATGCATCATGGGAAAAGAAAACATGCAAACACACACACACACACATACACATACACACACACACACACATACACATACACACACACAAACATGTACATGCTAACACATATCCTCACACACCAAAAGTTCACACACAAAAGCACACACTCAAACACCTCTTACTGTCACGACTTATAATTGTTAGGAATGTGTTAGTGTGTGACAGTTTGCGATTGTGAGAAATGTGTCAATGTGTACATGTGTGTGTCAACAGGACTTGGTCAATGAGAAGATCCACTCCCAAGAGCTGAGTAATGAGCTGGACCAGTTGAGAGGGGAGCTAGAGAAGGTGGGCATCAACACACAGAAGCTGACCATGGCTGAGCAGACCAATGATGCCAAGTGAGTGCCACACACATGCACACACACACATGCGCGTATGCACACACACATATGCACACACACACACACACTAGATACACCCCATCAACACGCAGAAGCTGACCATGGCGGAGCAGACCTATGATACCAAGTGAGTGCCACACACACGCCTGTATGCACACACACACACAAACACGCACACACACACTAGATACACTCCATCAACTCGCAGAAGCTTACTATGGCGGAGCAGACCAATGATGCCAAGTGAGTGCCACACTCATGCACACACACACACCCATGTATGCACGCACACACACGCATGCGTGCACACACACACACACATTCTCACACACACACACACAAACACACACACACAAACACACTCACACACACACACGCAAACATGTCTCATAGTCTCATACACGTCTCTTACTAGATACACCTCATCATCACACGGAAGCTGACAATGGCCAAACAGACCAATGATGCCAACTGAGTCTCTCTGTTGGTCTTTAGAACTGTTTTCAAAAACATCTGTCCTTATCTCTCCTCTTTTTTTTCTTTGAATGTTACTCTTCAGGAACAGTTCTAATCTTCGGCCTTTATATGATCTAGTTGTGTTGCAAGTACTCATATATATAGTCGAACCTGTGTAAGACGGCCACCCATTGTCAAGGAGAAAAGTGGCCCTATAAGACAGGTGGCTGTCTTAGGCAGGACTGATCAAGATGAAGAAAACAAACCATTCCTTTCTGAGGTCCCAACCGAAGGCAGCCTCATTGTTGTTGTTGTTATTGTAGTTGTTGTTTTTGTTGGGTTTTGTTGTTTTTTTGCTACTGCATTTGTGCAAGGGTGACAATAAAATGAAATGTGTCAGACAAGGAGTACCGAGTGCTATGGTTGCCACCATTCAGAGAACGAGCGACGCTTCTGTCACAAGTTTGTGTTGACGTCCATTGTTACTTTGTTACAGACTGGGTAAACAGTGAATACTCATCTCACTTTCTTTTACGATTTGAGTATGAGTTCTGGGAGGGGCCTACGCAACATGATCGGTTGGAGGGACTACCTAACAACAACGACAGGTGATTGGATTACGGCTGGCTCTCCCACAACGCCAGGGGACAATGCTTGATTTATGACAAAACGTAATGGAGTCTCTGAGGTGGCTGTCTAAGACAGGTGTTGATAGGGGTTGTGTGTTTAAATAGGGTGGCCGCGGCCGCGTTGAACAGGTGCCCATTTTGCACAGTTAAATTATATAGAAAAAACGCAAGGGGGAAAATGGAAACTGGCCGTTTGTACAGGTGGCCGTCTTATAGAGGTGGCCGTCAGGGCAGGTTCGACTGTACTCTAAGACTTTAAAAAAGAAAACGTCAAAATCAAGATAAATTGACGCATCAAGTTATTGATTTAATGTGTTTGTGTATCACAGCCGCTACAAAGCCTTGGAGTCGATGATCGAAGAGACGCTGCAGAAGAGCAACGAGCTGAAAGAAGAAAAAATCCGCAGTCTGGAGAGCCGGCTGGAAGAGTCCAAGAACCGCAACACCAAGCTGCAGGAGTCCCTGAGAGGGGCGCGGCAGGAGTGCGAGGTGCTCAAACAGAGATGTGAGGAGGAGGAGATTGCCGGGAGGGCTGCAGCTTCTGCGGGCACACAGAGAGTCAGGTGAGGGAGAGCAGGGCCTTTAATGACTTTCATAGCGATGGGATAGTTGGGGAGGGGGGTTTCACTGAGGTTTTTTATTGTACTGTTTGATTTTGCTCTTGCTTAATTTTTAGTCATAGATCAGTTTATTTACATTTTCTGTTTTTTAGTATGTGTACATTTTTGTCCCTTCTTTGTGGAGTTTTAAAAAAATGATTATCGCTTGTTTTTTTTCTCTTAAAAGAAAGGAGAGTTTTTGTTTTAAAGCTGTTTAGTTTCTTTAACTGAAAAGTTTTTAAGAGTTATTAAGATGGACACAAACTTGTTATTCTTTGCGAGTGTTATAATTCACTTCTTTAAGTTTTTGTCTTTAGCGTCTTCAGACAAGAAAAAGAGAAGACAAAATTGATGGGGTCTGTTATGAGGAGAGTGATGTAAACTTGTACCATTTCTAACGTCCTTTGTTTGCTTGTCCACAGACTGCTGGGCTCAAATTCATCAAACTCTGCCAAAGAGGTTTTTGAAATGAAGGACCATCTAGTGGAATTGGAAAGAAATGTGAGTTGCATAATACCTATGTTTATGAATTAGATTTGTGTTGTTGCTTTTAGCCCATATTTAGTTCTATTGGTAGGTGGACAAATAACTTTGATTCCAGTGATGAACAATTAAATTTGCTTCAAAGGGGGAAAAAAAAGAAATAACATTGACTCTTGGAAACGATGTGTTGCAGAAAGAAACAATACTAGCCCTGAGGCAATGTTTACCGTTAGCCGGTATGAACTGTGGTGATCGTGACTTACAATCTTGTGTTCATAAAAGAATTTGAGTTTTTAAATTGAAATTCTTATTTATGGTTTTATATTTTCTAAGAAACTCTTGGGATCACTTTTTTTAAAAGGCTGAATGAGGGTAAACTTAATTTTGACAAGCTACAATTATCTTAGAATGGTCTAAGATCAAATGTCTTTTTTTCTTCTTTTTTTTTACAGAATACCCCATTACTGATGGAAAATGACAAAGCATCAATTATTTTAGAATGTTCCAAAATCAGATGCAAATTTTTTTCTTTTTCAGAATGCCACATTGCTGGCGGAAAATGACAATCTGAGAAGCAACAATGGTCAGCTCAGCAACCAGTGCCAGAAGCTGGAGGGACAATTGTCCAGCCTGCAGTCCCAGAGCGCCACGCTACAAGGCCAGTACACCAGCCTGAAGGAACAGAATGCCAAACTGCAGGTCAGTCCAGTCTATCCGTTATACTACAAGGTGTTTTAGTTTTGTTTTAATAAAGAGTTCTACAGAACTTGCAACTCTAAATAGTCATATAAATTCTGAAGATTAGAGGTGTTACAAGAGAGTAACATGCAAAGAAAAGGAGGACAGATGAGTACAACAGGTGGGTGATTGAACAGAAGGAGCAAACCACACCAGAGTATCCACCAACCATCATACTACATGGTGTCCCTATTGACACTTTCAAATCATTTAGGAGATTAGCTGCATTGACCCTGAGTGTCAGGACCAACCAGTGCTGAGAGGTATACAGTGTCCCAGCAGAAGTGGGAATGGAACTCACTTCTTCTGTGTGCAATGATGAAGTGCCAAAGTGCTATACCACAGAGACTTCTCCTTATGGTCTGGACATATAAGCAGAATGTGTCATATTTTTTAAAGATAAAAGTCAGATTATTATTATTTTGTGATAATTTATAGAGACAATGAGGAGTTTGAATGTGAAAATTATTTGCTTCAATTTAGGTGGGGGGGGGGACTTCTACAGAATTATGTTTAGATATCTCAAAATTCTACAACATAAGGGTTTCTACAGAATTATTTTTTGATACCTCAAAATACTACCACATAAGGTGCACATTGGGAGAAGGGAGTTCACAGCCTGAGTGAGTTGACTTCTACTAGCCTGTAACAGTGGTGCACTCTATTCTTCTCTGCTCACCAGGTGGAGTACAGCACGCTGCAGTCCCAGACCACCTCCAGCCTCTCCCTCCAGGACTCGCTCAAACACCAGCTCAGCCGGCTCGAGTCGGACCACGAGAATCTGGGCCACAAGCACGAGGACCTGCTGGTCACCCACCGGTCACTCTTGACGGACCACGAGTCGCTGCAGCACCTGCACAACCAGCTGACCTCGGAGTACGAGGCACTGGTCTCGGAGCACGGCTCCCTCAAGTCCTTGCACAAGTCACTCAAGGGAGAGCTCAGGGATGCTCAGGATCAGCTGGACACTTTCCTGCAGGTGGGACAATTTCTTCTGTGTTTGTGATCGTGCGTCCTCAGAATAGCAAGGTTCTAACACAGTGGCGAATAGTTTTTGTGAAGATGGAACTCATAGTTTCGCATTATTATAGTTAAAATGCTTTTATGCCTTATTTTTTATGCATTGAACCGAAAAAAAAAGATCAAATTAGCTTGCTGTGTATTGTTTTTGAGAAATGCTTTAATGCCTTATTTCTTGAGCATCAAACTGAAAATAAAGGTCAAATTTGTTCGGTGTGCTGGGCATGTGTGTCAGTTATGTGTAGTGTGTCACTCAGTTCTCTCAAAAATTTAAGTTTAGAACCCTTCTATTCTAAGAGTGCGATTAATATTATAAGGACGTTCTCCCTTTTTTTAACCCTATCCATACGCCTGAGGTCATTTTGTACCCCAGGAGTTGTTTTGTTCACTTTTGAGAATACTTCTAGTGCGAAGATCTCTTTGAAACTTTCAGTATTTCTCAAAAAATCATTTTGACAGATTGCTATGCAACGCGTGCGGATCGGATTAACAAGTAAATTTCCTCTTTGGAAAGTGATGGCACAGATTTCCCCACGTCATATGGATACGATAGTAAAACACGGCGTACGGATAGGGTTAAACCTTTCCTTTGTGCGTATTTGAATAGGGTTCTTTTGAAAGTTCCAATTTGTTACCTGTGAGGCAAAAAACTTAAATGACTTTTTCTCTAAATGGACCTCATTGCATAAGTGGATTTTCTTTTTGTTTTTGCTTTTGGTGATAGGTGGGTTAACATTTCTCCAATTATTCTGGTGGTGCTCTGGCATTAATTTGTTGTTTCAAGGAGTTTCAATATTCCAATATTCAGCCTATCATTTGGATCAGACACATTAACCCAACCTCAATGCTTGGCTCTGTACCTTATCATTTAGCAATTTCTTTTTACTGTTTGAAACCATATATTATGATTTACGAGTATGTGCATTGTGATCTATTTGGAGAAACTTATTGTACTTTGTGCATGATTGTTACTGTGTCATTGTAAATGATTGCTATGAAGTCGTTATTACATGCATTTCCCAGCAAGTGGTTTGAGGGTACCACTGGTAGGTCTACATCTTTTCTTTCCCTCTTCTGTTTGTCTGTCTTAGTTTTTTCCCCTGCACTTAATGACCATTATTTTGTCAGTGCTCCTCTGTTTTCAAACATACATGAATATCCCGAAAGGGACCGGTGAACTTATATTTTTCTCTCTGTCTCCGTTTACAACTCAAGAACTCCTGAGCTAAACGTCATTTATTTATCCATTGCTTTTGTGTCAGGGCAAGGACGACGTGAACAAACTGCGAGACCTTCTAGAGCACGAGCGAGAACAGCTGAAACGGGAACTGCTCTCCGTGGGCAACCTGCAGGCAGACTACAGCCGTCTCCATGATGACCACAAACAAATGCAGGCAGCTTACGACAAGCTCAGTCAAGATTACAGTGACATGCTGGGCTCACACAAACAGGTTGGAGCGCTTATTCGAAATGGGGATAAGAATGGTGGCTAGGAGTGGTGTAATTTTTTTAATATTAAATAATAGGAGAATGATGGACTGGTAGAGTGCAAAGATAGAGCTGTGCCTTTTTGTGCAGTATGAGAGGAAATGTGATTTCTTTGTCGCTTTACATTGCTCACCTGGTCACATACATATACTCCTATACACACACATATATCGGCAGACATACATACATCCTCACTCACACATGGAGTTCTGTGCACACATTCAGTTACAAACGCACTTACTTACTATCGTGTCCAAATGCACCGCTAGGCTTTCAATAATGTATACATATATCGTGCTGTCAATCCATCTAAAGGACATCTAGTGTGACTGGGTTATTAATCGCTTCATGAATATATAAATAGCATATGAGTAGTTCATATTCCCACTCGACAGCAAACTCTATGTGCTTTACAATCTATATCATTATCCCAGCAGACCCTTGAATACTCGGAAACCCTTTTGGCTTCTTGAGAAGCTGCCAACTAAGCACTCAAACTCTAGCAAACTGAAGAGATCTTTTACTGATAATGGACGGTTACCCATTTCCACTTGGGTAAAATGAGGAAAATTCTTGTAAAGTGCCTTTCCCAAACATACAACATAGGGACCATGACTGTGATCAAACCCACAATCTGTTGGTTATGAGCCCAACAGCTTATCTACTAGACCACTGATGCCATTATTGTACTCTGGGTGGTTGGCGGGTGCTCTGGTGTAGTTTGCTTCTTCTTTCCTATGAAACATCTATCGTCCTTATCTCCCCTTCTTCTTTTTTATGTTTGTTACTCTCTTGTAACACCCCTAATCTTCTGGTGCTCATATGACCTTATGCAGTGGCGAGCGCCGTAAAACCTCTACTAAAAAAAAACCCAACATTATTGTGCTCTCTATGAGGTCCCGCCGATTAACCCTTGTCATCTCATGTGCATATTCAGGTGAAGACTGACTACAACACGCTGCAGCTCAAGTCCACAGAGCAACAAGGGGACCTGAACGAGGCGAAGGAGAACCTGTCTGTGGCCGAGGTGGAGTTCCAGAAGCTGGAGAACAAGATGGATGTGAGTCATTTCTTTGTTTTGTCGATTAATGTCAGGGTGAAATATGGTTGTTAATGACTTCTTTGTTTGTTGATTTATTTTAGAGTAAAATGTGGATGTGAGTCATTTCTTGGTTTTGTTGGTTAATTTCAGAGTGAAATATGGATGTTAGTCATTTCTTTGTTTGCTGGTTTATTTCATCAGAGTAAAATATGTGGGTGGTTGGCAGGTGCTCTAGTATGGTTTGCTCCTTCTTTCCTGTCAAACATCTGTCATCCTCATCTTTCCTCCTTCTTCTCTTTGTATGTTACTCGCTAGTAACTCTTTTAGTCTTCCTCAAATGGGTGGCTGGCAAGTGCTCTGGTATGGTTTGCTTCTTTTTCATACCAAATATCTGTCGCCCTTATTTCCCCTCCTTCACTTTTGTGTTTTTTACTCTCTTGTAAGACCTCAAATCTTCAGCACTTATATGACCTACATCAAGAAAACAGAAAAATCTCCTTTTGATCACACTCTTTTATTCCCATTACTATGTTTTGTCTCCCTAGGCTGTGTATCAGATCAACGAACGACTGGAGAATGAGAACCAAGCGTTGCTCCTGCAGATTCAGCAGTTGTTGAACCAGAACCAAGAGCTGCTGACACAGGCACTCAACAGCAAAGATCACTTTGCTGAGGAAGAGAAAGCATATCTGTGAGTAATTTAATCGTAATTGTTAATGTTTCATGCCTCCATGAACACAAGTTCGAATATTTTGAGTCCAGGCTGCTTTAACCCTGGCGGTCAGGACCAGCCCAGGCTGAGTGGGATATGCCATTTCAGCAGTCATGGGGGATATTCAATTTTTTAAAAACTTTCTCACTCAAGAATCAAACTTGACTTCCCCTGAGACTTCTGCGAGAGCCTAACCACCATGCCACTGTTGCTGGTTTGTGTGACAGTTGCCGTGTTGAAAGGTATCATTCTGCAAAAGCTAAAAAGGTGCTTTTGAAACTTTAAAGGTGATTGGTTGTCGAAGGTTGGATTGAGAAAGTCAGTATCAGATTACCTGACACCGAGACTGTGAAGGATAAAAACTAGGTTGAAGTTGAACCTCTTATATTTTAACAAGGTCCGTTTTCTTTTTCAGGCAAGTTCCTCTGTCTTTCACTTCCTGTGTTGTACTCTCTGTTATGTTACTTAGTATTTTAGTTATGCTTCTTTTCACTATGAATCAAGCTCAGTTTATGTTGCTGTTAATCGTACAGCCCATGTTCTCTTAGACTTCAGCTCAAAGCTCAGTTTGTACTTGATTGTAAAAAAGTACATCTTAAGATTTGTAAACAGGGGGAATAAGGGGAAAAGACACTTGACCTCTAGCTATTTCACAGTACTCCATATCCCCTTGCTTTGTTGACCTTATGAATTTTACCAAAAAGAACACATTTTTAAAAATGTAAGTATTATGTTGTTATATCCCCTTCAACACAATTTAAATAATTTTGGAGACAGCGTTCAACCCTGCCTGTCAAGGTCAACGGGGGCTGAGAAGAAAATAGACAGCATCCCAGCAGAAAGACCAAGATACTCGATAAGATTTCTTCCCATACAGGAATGAAACTCTGGTTGTCTGTGTGCAGCAGTGAAGCGCCTGACTGCAACAATGAATAACCAGCTTTTCCTCTTTGTTTTTCTGGTCCTGGAACTTCTTCGGCCATTTTTTTTTAACATGTAGTCAGTGATCTGAGAAATTTTTAAGAATTTTTTAAAAATTGTTTTTCTTTAGGGAAAAACTTTCTGACCTACGCAGACAGAAAGAAAGGCTGGAAGAGAAGATAATGGATCACTATAAGAACAGGATATCACCAAAGAAGTAAGAGAATCATTGTGCTGCATGTTGATGTTTATTTCATTTTTCTCATCGACCAAAGATGTACACTATAAATCATGTCAAAATTAGTATGTATTTATTTATTAGGTTATTAATGAGTTAAAAGTTGTTACAATACACAGGGATGTACTAATTTGTTTGTTTGAGTGAAGAGAAGCACATTGACACAATAATGGTCGTCTGTCTAGGGGATATACTAAAAGTTACAATTGTGGTAATTGTAATAATTGTACACAGTTGTGTTATTTTTATGTTTGTAATGGGGAGAAAGGTTGCTTACATTGGGCGGGCTGATTTCTTCGATATATCTTTTGTTTTATTGGTTTGTTTCAGTACACAAGTGAATCTATCCTGATAGCCCCCTCTCTTCTCACACATTAAATATCAGTCTGTAGCTTGTGTTCTTGCCATAGTCTCTTCCTCTCTAAAGGTTTTTTCCTTGGTGGTTTGTACAGTGGTTCTGACAATGTAATACAGTGAAACTGCCTTAGTTTTGATCTTACTCAATTGCTAGTCCTATTTTTACTGCTGACTTGTTTTTCCCTAAAGAATTTTAATTTTGTGAACTAGTCGCCAAAATTCTGATTTCTTTTTTGTTATGTTTCTTCTCAGGAAAGGATTTGGAGCTCTTCTTGCCCGCAAGGCTCGAGGCATCATCTCAAGGGTACAGGACTCTCTATTTCTTCAAATCACTCCTATCTGTATATCTTTGTCCTTATGACAAGGCAGGCTGACTCACAAAATATCTCTTTTTTTTTTAATTTGACAAATCAAATTTCATACGTTCAGTCAAAGGCAGGTCTGAAATTTGGCTAGAAGTGCTCCGAAAACTTTAAAAATAAATGTGAACAACTCACCAACCATTAGGTTGTTGAATGATAAAACCAAATGTTGGGGCTTTTTTTTGCTTCTCCTGTAAAGTTTACTCAGCTGAGATTATGCTGATCTTATTAAAAGGACAACAATATGTTATTATAGTAACATCTTAATTTTTTGCTTTGTTTTTTTAATGGGAAGGCCCTGATAGTGATATAAGGAATTAGAAGATGCTCTTCACAGCGACAGTTTACTTTGTGCGCCCACTCACATAGAATGGCAAGCTGCTGTGATGCTCAGTGCAGACTTTGTGGTACATGATGGCTGTAGTTGTTGGCACTGACTCTTCCATCACTGTGAACAATGGTGTTTGAGCTGTATTTATCAACACTGTTTTTTTTAATGAAGAAATATATAGTGGTTAAGATATGCTAGCAGTGGACTTAATGGTGAAAGGCAAATTCAGGAACTGAAGCTAGTATAGATTTTCTTTTTTCTCTCCTATGAATTTTCATTTATATTCAGTGATAAATTTGAAATTGTTTTTGTTGGGGGTTTTTGTGTAGAAAAAAAAAGCATGATACCTTGATTTCTCTCAAAATCAGTACCTTACTGTTTGGTTGAAAAATGGTTAGGCGATTATTTTGATAATCTCTCCCTTTTGACGTAAAACTAGTGTGAGATTACTCTCTGCAGACCCCGAAGCGCAGCAAAAGTCGGAACAACCTGTCGGAGCTGAATGATAACTCTTCTCAAGGTTCGGGGTCAACTGAACAGACCAACGACGCCCACAGACTAGGTAAGTTCTCATGTGGTTATCTCTCTTTTCTTTCTGTCTTGCCTGCCTCCCAAGAGTTATTTTTTGAAGTTGTTATTTGCCCGAGTGATGCCCTACTGCTTAAATTTGTTTACGGCTTCGTGTGACATTTTAAATTTAGGGTGTACTGTTATTACAGTTGACAACTCTGTGGCTGTTTTAGCCCTGCTTTAGAAAATTAACAACAGTTTTAATGCTTTGAGCTGTGGGATTGTTACAATGGGCTAGAGTTTTGTTTTTAACTCTCTAATCTACAGCTTCGTGACAAATTTGTCTTTTTTGTTCTGTTGATTAATACATTTTGGCTTTCTTAGATGTTTTCAGGAAGGATACAGATAACCCTTACTATTAGTACTTATTCAAATGCCAGATCAGATTCTGTTCAAGATTATTCTGGATGGCACATCTTGTGAACTGAGTAATTGAGAAAATGCAAGTGCAGTGATATTTGCAGCTTTTTTTATTTCTTGCTAGTTTTGAACCAGTTCCAGTTTTGAGAACAAGTACAGTCAAAGGGATAGTTGCACATTGTCTCAGTTTCACTTTTAAATTGCATTTTCTTTTTTTCATAGAGTTGCTAGTATACTCTAGGTCTTTGCTTTATTTCTTCTCCCAGGAATTTGTAACACTAATATATATATATTGGTAGTTAATAATGGTACATGCTTTACCATTTCAGTTACATTTCTTTTAATTTGGGAAAAATACCTGTGATACTTCAGCTACCTTGGGTTTAAGTTTTCTACACATGCACTTATATACAAAGATTTTGGAAAAAATTTGAGTACCAAATTATATTCAGAATACCTTTACTCTCACGCTGTTGTATGGATGCATGAGTATGCATGTTGTGTTAGTTATGTGTAAGTGCATTGCTTTCAAAGAATACGACAGCAACAAGAATATCCTAACTGGAGAGATAGCGACAAGAATATATTCATATATTTCAACAGAAAAGCTCTCTTCCTAAAACTGTCACCAAGCTATGCAGATTTCGATGTCCACCTAGCCCGCAGATTGTAACAGATTGATAACTTTGAAATAGAAGCTAGGAAATATAAAATTTTCACCTTCATTGTTCTGTTTGCTTGTATTTTATATTGATCAGTCTTGGAAGTGTTTACTTAAGCTCCAGCATCAACATTGCTTCCGTTCTAGGTCCTTGGAATAGTAGAAAACTTTAAGGAGAAATAACATTTTAGAACCGTTCCTTTTTATATCAATTTTGACTACAGTAGTTACTCTGACCGAACCAGCTTCTGTGGTGTTGGGTTACACACAGAAGACCTGAGTTTGAGTCCTGTGTAGAGATAATTTTATTGAGTGTCGAGACCCTTCTGCTGGGATTTTGTATTTCTCTCAGCCCAGGTTGGGCCTGACAAGCAAGGTAGAAGCTTATCTTCTAAATTCTAAATGATCTAAATTGAGTAGATGGGGGCTACATGAAAAAAATCTCTTGCCAATATTTAATTTTTGTTTTACTCCAAAAATTAAATTCCAAGGCTAGTTTTCCCACAGAACCATTGTTATAATTTTTTAATTACTGTGTCAAACTGATATTTAGCATTATACTAGGGAATTAATAGTTTCTCGAGAGTGCCAACAAGTGTTGAGGCATATAAGCTACTCGTCTGTTTTCCATCCTCAAGAACTTTGTGCACCCTGATGATCCCCTCACCTTATTTATTAATGTGACTGTGTTCAGTTTCTCTTGAAGATTTCGGGTTTCATTCTCTATGAGTGAAATTAAAGTGGGAAGGATAATTTTTCAAGGATTCTTTTTTTTCTTATACTGTATCAAGAGTGGAGGTGGTTTTTCAAAACTTTACATTTATTTTGCGTTTTGGCAAACTTGATTATAATTTCCTCTTCTGAAAATTGGCTGTTCTCATCTATGACCACAGTCGGGACTTGACAAAAATAGTATCTGAAAACTTCTTAAAATAAAATGTTAAGCATTTCCGTTCGGTATATTCAATTAAACGAGTGAACTACTTTGCATTAACTTAGATTCATTCATGGGGAGGCTAGCAATAATAGCTGACCTCACTTAGGATCGTCCATTGAACCTGCTGCTGTGTCCACACAGACACTGTGTTCTCAATTTTTTTGTTCCTTTGTGTTCAGATTGCTTTGAGCTCAACAGTAAGTGATGTCATCCTTCAACAAAAAAAGTCTGTTCTTTCTGATTTTCATTACTGTTCCAGACTGTGTAAATGAAAATGATTCTCCCTTTTCATACAAGACTGTAACTTTTTCTCTACACTGTTTCTCATATGTAACCATCATCTATTTCCTACTTGACGCTAAAGTAATGCAAATGGCTTGGCAGGATATCCTGCTATTCTTCTCTGTCTAAAACTCTTTGACTCTTTGTACACATTCATTGAGAGAACCAGAACAGATTGGTGACAGGAAAGGTCAGAACAAGATAGGGTTTTCGGGGGAGGAGGGAGGGGGTTAGATCATCCAAGCAAAGGAACAAACAATGAACCATGATTGCTCATGTCTGCTTTAGGTGTGGCACTTCATGATGACGAAGCATTTATGATGCTACCTCTTTACTCTGTGATATCACAGTAGTTTGTATTGTTTAGGGCTGATGCATATTGTATGTAATACTCAGTAGAAAATGGGCACAATATTGATTGATACACTGTGGGCAGAATTTAAACAAGTTCAGTTGTAATTTTAGAGGTTATAGTTTTATTTAATCAACCTAAAAACTCTTGTAATCCTTCAAACTGACTCATATTATTTTGATACCATCATTATGAAGGGGGTTTAAAGTTGGGCTCACAACGCTGGTCACTTTTCATTTGAGGATTTCTCATTTTTTTTAATAGATGGGGGGGGGGGGGGGGGTTCTGTTACTCTTAGGGTGAGTACTCGATCAATCCCACCCCATCATAGGTGATAATCCTTGTACTTGGAAAAGTTCCTGTTAGAATTTGGCTTAAAGTTTGAGAGGGAGGGGCTTGCAAAATTAAAAACTGATTTAATTGGTCATTCATTTATTGATATACCTTCACTGACTTTAAGTTTTGGGGTTACCAGATGCATTCTTATTGCTCTTGAGTTCCTGATATCCGATTCTTCACATCTTCTGCTTACCGCCTTGTAAGCTCATTCATTAAAAGATTCACTGCCCATTACCAAAGTCTGTAGTATAATGATTTTTAAAAATGTATTTGCATGCAGAGGATTGTATTTAGATTTCTACAAGAGGATAACATTGTTTAATTTGTCACAGGGACAATCTCTACAATGTCGAAAATAATGTATGCTCAAAATTAGTACTTTCCTGGCAAATGGTTTATCAACTCTGTTAATTACTGTTAATTCTTGACTTTTCTGACTTCATATATCACTCTCAGTCCTCATTGCAAAATGTGATGTTTGAACTCTAATTTGCCTTACAGATAAACAACGGCAAAGCAGCTCAGGCCCTTACGCTGACGCCAGTCCCAAACTGGCCAATCAGAATAAATCTCTGGCCAAATCATACACCGCTCTCCATTCTCCTGTCTTTGATAATGAGAAATCCGAGCTGCGAGGTAGCTTGGCATGCTATTCTCCCCCCCCCCCCCCCCCCCTGCGTGTTTGTCACCTTGCTTTGAGCTTGGATGCTTTTTTATCCACCCTAGTCTGCAGGTGTTTCTCTCTCAATCCAGTGCCTGGCTTTTTCTCATATTTCCTGTGTATTCTTGCCTGGTTATGTCAGATTGATACACATGTTGGTTGACCACTAATGGCGTGTTTAAAAAAAAGGATCATCTACTGACCCACAGTTTGTTTCACTCCTTGTTTAACAAATCTCTGTACGATATTATTAACCAAAGTTTTAGGGGCTTTTTTCCCCTCTATGTTTGTGGGTGCAGGGATCTGCCGGTCTAGAGTCACTTTCTCGTTACATTTTGAGGAGTCCACAGGAAAGCTTGGCATAGTCGCAAAAAGGAAGTCATGAGGATATCAACTTTGAAAGCTTGTAGCCTCTCAACTTCTTTTCTGTATGACTGAACGATTTATTTGTTTGGTTGAATGAGAAATGAAACAAAAATGATCAACCATCTGTCGAACAGAATGAAACTGTGAGTCTACAAGCTGTTAAAATTGATATTCACTCAATTTTCATTTTGTGACTTGCCATTTTCCACATGAACTCCCTCGTAATGTATTGATATATCATAAACTTCTGATTTGTAGAGCCCTTATTCATATTCACTAACAGGGGAAGAAAATTATCGCATGAAGCCTGAAGTATACAATACCCTTTGGGATATTATTGGTTATTGTTTTTTCCCTAGAAAAAAGGACGTTGCTGTTAGTTGTGACGCCTTGCATTGCATGAGGAAGACTTCTCAGGTTTTAAAAAAAACTATACTAATGCTCAGTTTGTTTCCCCCCCCCAAAAAAAAAGGGGGAAACATGATATGCAATTGTAGGAACAAAAAGACTTTCGGTTATCAAGCCTTACACCTGCAAGGGGAAAGAGTTTCCAAGTATAAAAGAACCAATACAAATGCTCAGTTTGTTTTACCAAAACAAAAAAAAAACAAAAAATTCCCAAAGTGAGGCTCAATTTGATTTTTACTCTTAAATACTGTGCAACAAAAAGCGTTCTTGGTCTGGTTAAAGTTGTTGAGTGTTTAGTGTTCAGGCTTGTCGTTGTTGGGTTTTTTATGTTTCTCGTTTCTTTGTGTGTGGTCATAGCTCATGTGTGAGAAGTGTGCAGGATGTGCTCTCTAAATAGTTCATCATTTGACACCCTTTTAAATGTGTACAATGGTAAAACAGATCCTGCTTACTGATGATACACAGACTTAGGTCTGGTCTGATTATGTTGAACTAAAGACATGTAAGCAGAATTCCTTTTACTCTGCTCTGTGTTAAATTCATTATTGGCTATTTATGTAATGTTTTGTGTAGGTGGGTGGCTGGAGGGTGTCACTGATAGGCCTACTTTTTCACTTTCCATCTTTTATTTGTGTCTCTCTGTCTTGCTTTTTCCCAGTACTAAATGACCATTATTGCGTCAATATTCTTCATTTTACTCTTAGTAAAAAGCAAACTTTGTTTTTGGTTGTTGTACACAGTGCATTTTTTTCTGTGTGTCTTTTGAGTTTTGTTTTACTTTGTGATCTATATTATGTTTCTGTTTCATCTTCCAAATTATTTTACATAAGTTTCGTGTTTTCTTCTTTAGACATATCATATCATACATTTGCAGTGGTAGAGTTCTTTCCCTTGACAGTATTGACTTTCAAACTTAACATGTACTTTTTAAAGTATTTTTTTTGTATCTTACTTCAATGAATATCTTTGGTTTCATCCCAACTTTTATTAGCGCTAATGATTTCATTGATAAAACAAACAGTCTTTGGATTTTATATTTGAATATGAAGTTGCTTTTTTATTTGTTTGGTTTATTAGTCAGTGGGTATAATTCACTCTGTCTGTCTGCCATGACTAAAGAAATGAAAAACATTTTGGACAGTTATCAAAATTAATAAGTGCCAAGGAAAGAAGAATTCTCCAAAGTACCTATCAGTGTCCCGAAATGCTCTGCGTTACAGCAGCGGCTGATTGCTATCCAGTACTATCAAACCCCCCCCCCCGTATTGAATGCAGTTAGGGTCGTGCAGTGACTGATTGCTATCCAAAAATATCAACCCATATTGTATGCAGTTCAAGTCTTACTGCATGTCATGTATACACTATACAAAGTTCTCAATCCTGTCCAATGATACATAATAAGATTCCGTCAGTAAGAAACTTTGCTTCCTATATATGACGATTGGTCGATTGGTTTTACTTCTATCCAGGATGATATTGGTGTCAAATTTTTTTTGTCACTCTAAAAATGTGTTTTACATAAATTTGTCCTCTATGTCTGAATTGGATCGTTACCTTACATATTTTACTTGGGTGGTTGGAGGGTGCCAATGGTAGATTGAACTTGTTTTCTTTCTCACTGTTCTTCTGTCTGCCTGTCAGCCATGCTTTTTCTTTGCACTAAATGACTTGTTTTTATGTGGATGTGCTTCTCTTAACTCAAACATTCCTATTTTACATTAAGCACAATGCAGTGCTATGTCTGTAAGCTAATCCCCAATTCATTTCTGCTTACTTTTTGGGAAAAGTGACGGTATTATGCACGTGTAAGAGGTAAAATGGTGAGACCTTGTGCCAGAAGACATGAATATACTTTGTCATGTGAGATGAGTTATAATTTTGCACAAGTGAAGGAGGGAAAATTTTTGAAACTTTGTACCAGAAGACATTAATTTACTTTGTAACCTGAAAGTTATTTGTGGAATGAAAAGGTCAGAGGGCATCAATACTTGCAATCTATTCTTGTAAAATGTTTTGGAGGAACCCCTTCATTTTATTTGTTGTCAGTTTGTAGGTTGTTGTTTTTTTTAAGGTAAAGCAATTACAGTTTGTCTAATAAAGAAAATAATATTATCACTACAAGCATGCTCATCTCATTTGGTATTCTGTTTATCAATTTGGAAATGGTTACCCTTGAAATGACACCAAATTTTGTCCTATGTTATTTTGGTGTTCACAGTCTGGGTGGGGGGATGTTGTGGAATCAGGCTCTTGTCCTTTTGTGGGGATATGGAGTTATTGGTGTATTCTCAAAGTCTGTTCGTTTGCGTTGCTTTTGAAGGAAAAAATCCATTCATCTTGAATTGAAGTGTTGATATTTGCTATTGAAGGTGGGGTCACCTGGTGTCAGATATAGAATTAGCCAGAAGATAGCTGTTAAAGTTTGATGATTTCTAAAACTTGAGTGTATTTAGATACTGCAAATCTACATTTTAAAGGAGTTGATTTTTTTAAAAGTCAATGAAACTTGTCCTAAGGGCAGAAAATGTAGATTTCTTTGATTTCATTATTTTGACGAGCTGCTGATTTCACCACAGTGCCATATATTTTTGTATTTCCCTGTGCCTTAGAAAGTCATGGATCTATTTTCCTCTTTGTGGTTCACACTGTGTTCATCTCTGGTATGTAAATTGTTACCTTTGTGTCAGCACTTGCTGGTTGTCGGATGGCACATCCACTTGGTTCACTCTTATTCTTTCCATCCTGTCTTTCCTCTTACATTTTTGTGCGTGGCGTTGCTTTTCCCTGTGCACTGTATGTATGGCTGTTTTTGTGTTCGTTAGCTTTTCTCACACTCACGTGAAGTCACGTGGTGTGTTATTGTGAGTTGATCGTTGTGACTGTACAGAAATTGGATTTTTCTAAGAGACGAATTCGTACCCAACTATTGTTGTAATGAGGTTCCAGTAATAATAATAGATAGCATTTGTATAGTGCAAAGTCCCGCTCAGCAGCAAGCCCTATGCGCTTTTCAATCTATAATATTACCCCAGCAGACTTGATAGCATTCTGAAACAATCTCAGCTTCTTGAGAAGCATACAGTACAAACCCCACATTTTTTAACCATTGGGTTCTCAAGAATCTATTTCACACAGTTTACTGATTAACAGAAATTTTTGCTGTCAGTGGTGGAGGTAATGGCTAATATTAGCTTTGAATAATCCTTACCAATTCCCATGTACATTTGCTCATGATCATTATTGATTTACGCATACAAATTTTGCTCAATTTTAATGTTGTACGGTGATGGGACAACTGCACATCCTGTAAAGGTTATTTTGAGTGTGATACTATATAAAATCCTCCATAGTGGAAAACCGCTATTCGCAATTTAAAACCATTTTGTACATGTGTTTTTTCTGACACCATGCGAGTAACAGTTTGAAGAGTAAGACAGTGCCATTGTTTCACATTTGAGTGTCTTACTTATTCAGCTTTTTGTTCTTTCATCCAGGTGCTAAGTCTACAGAAGATGTCCGAGACGGAGGCACGGGTGACACAGGTTTGCTCCCAGGTGAGAGCTGGTCATGGTTTTTTTCTGTCCCCTAGGTTTTATGCACCCTGCATAATTTAGCAAAATTTGATCATTTTTTGCATAATTTCAGATTATTTTCCTTTGTCATTCTTAGTTAAAATTAACAGAATTGCATAATTTCACTTTTTTGGACTCAAGTTTGCATAATTTCAAAATTTTTCTTACATAAAACGACGGGGACGGTCAGTTTTAATCTCCTTTCAGTACACAACAGGTCAGTTAGCCCTTTTACCACCTTCTGAGAAACTGCCACTGGCTGTGGTCCCGTCAAATAGATCTCCAACCAATAAGCAGATGGATTTTGAGGTGGATCCTGAGAAGAAAAGGGGAGCAGCTGTGAATGTACCGTATGGGATGATCCCTACCTTATAGACAAATAGACAGAATGTCTCTCTCTGGCTTTGCACCAAAATTGTAGGATAAGCCTGGCAGTATATGAGTTTAATATTGACTTCTGTTTCGGCTTTTGAATTGGAGTCGTTAATGAAAAGGCAAGCTAGGTTGCTTTAAGAATGAATTTAAAACCAAATAGCCTGCTCTGTTGTCAAATGTCTTACTATTGACTTAAAAGTACTTCCTACATGTTTGTACTTGTCTGTTGGTGTGTTGTGCTTTGCATAAAACACAAGGTAGAGAATTAAATAAGCTTGAAATAAGAACTTGAAATATTGTTCCTTCTTTTATGTAAGCCCATTAATGTACAGACATTAAATAGAAAGCAGAACTAATGCATAGTATTGTAAGTAAAAAGTGCAGTCAGCAAGAGAGAAGTGAGTTGTTTGAACTACGACAATAACAATATAAGATTATTATAAGTTCTTGCTTTGTCCTGACATTGGAAGGCACTACTGATAGGTCCTACTCTTTTACTATACCACTTTTGGTTCCATCCGTCTTCCTTTTCCCAAACCCTAAATGATGATTATTGTGTCTATGTGCTTCTCTTCATTCGAGTATGAACTTACTAAAAAAAATGTATGCCCTGCTGCTGATGCTTCTTCTCAAAATGGAAGCACATATTGTGAAAATAGTCGAGTCGAGTTGTTAAAAAAAACATTTCAGTTCCATCAGACTGTAGAAATCAATTCCGGGGATAATCTTCCAAATGTTGACTGTTGTGTCCAGGCCTGGGTCGCCCGTACACCATGGATCAGGTGGAAGGCGGTAACGGAGGACGATCGACCACTCCAGGGTTAGGCCGGAGAACCCCAGGGCGGTCGTCTCCTGGCAGCGAGATGTTGACCTTGGACCAGTTCCTAAAGGAAGCCAACAAGTCGCCACGGAACAACGCCAACAACAGTAATGAAAACAGTAGTAACGCTCAGGACGAGGTGAGGAGGGGCAAAAGATAAGATCCATTATATTGATCCTCGAGGGAAATATTGGGTGGATTTTCCAGAACATCAACTTATAAGGGGTGCTCATTCCTGATGGGATCGGGTTGGGTCTAGGGTGATGACCCCACTCGTCGCCTGAAAATGAATGCGTTTGTTTTTGAGGCGACAAGTCGGGCGCGATTGGCTTGTGCCACCACGGCCGCTTTGCAACCTCAATCTGGTTAGCAAACCGCCCAGAATAATCTCGATCCCCCTAATGGGTACCCCATATTACTAAGATTCATCATCAACACGGAAATGCACTCATTACATGCATGTGTACTGATTCACATACAATGCAACAATGTTCAGTGAGCTCATACAAATGTACATAGTGTGTCCGTAGTCATGAATTCTCTCTCTCTTTCTCTCTCTCTCTCTCTCTCTCTCTCTCTCTCTCTCTTTCTTTCTCTCTCTCTCTCTCTCTCTCTCTTTCTCACACACGCAGGCACACACACACACACTGTCAAATATATACTCAGTCTTCTGTCTGTCTCTTCCATACACATCTGGCATGTGCATAAGACATGATCACACAAGAAAAAATCATGTATTATATAGTCTTAGATTTTATTTTCCATCATCTGACAGAAGAGGGGACAAAGTTCTGATATCTCTCTGTTTTTGAAGCAGACTGAATGACTTTCTTGCTTCTTACAGATCTTACATGTGTACTCTTCATAAAGAGGACGTCTTCACTTATCCACAGATGGTACCTCAGAATGCGGTACAGAGACGCCGCTCTAACGACAGTGAGTCCCGCAGCAGCGACAACTCTAACACCAGCGCCAACAAGCAGCTGCAGTACAGGCATCAGCAGCATCAGCAACAACGCCACCCAAGTGCTTCGACGAGCTCCAGCAGCCTGACTCAGCAGTTCCGACCAGACATTCCCGATGTGGCGTCCTCATCTCACAACTCGCTAGCCTCGGCACTCGACCCCAATTCATCTCGACTGTCTCGTAATTCTTCCGGTACCATCCACGATAGTTTTGGTTCTTCAGGTATGTTGCCAGGAGACATATACACATCGACTCCAAAAGCTGAGCAGGATGTTTCCGCCTCGTCTCTGACTTTACAGTCCCACTTTAATGGTAGTCCTACAACTCCAGTTACCAGACGCCGGGATCCGTCTGCTGATCGTCCTCTGTCTCAGAAACGATTGTCAGGCGAAGACTGGAGAAATTCCGCCCACGACTATTCCAGCACAAATCGACTGGGTCAGTTTGGGCAGCCATCATCCAGTTCACCACGAACTCCTCGGTCATCCTCTTCTGCTTCGTCTCAGTCGTATCAGCAGTCTCAGCCACCCCTGGGCCACACACACCCACACAAACAGATGAGCAATCCACAATCATCATTTAGCGTAAACAGCAGCAATAACAACAGCAGTAGTGGCAGCAGCAGCATCAACAGTAGCAAGAGGAGTAGTAGAGAGTTGCCCCCTGCACCCACCGAGCCCCCTCCTCCGATTCCAGCCACCGAGCGTCTTGACCGACTGACCATGCTATCATCAGGTGACCCGATGCCACCATCTCACTACGCCTCGCCAAATGATCTCCCCATCAACAATAATAACAGCGATCATTCTGGGCATCACCCATGGGGTTCTCAGTACCGAGACCCCCGAAAGTCTGAGAGCCCCAGGGCTACTGAGAGTGACTTTGGTCGTGGTGGGGACATGTCAGCAGAGATACAGAGGAGAAAATCTCAGGGCGCTGCCGACAAACCACAGGGCCTCCCAAATCAGTTCCAGCCTCCAATACCCAGGTCTCAGCCTGGAGTAGCCTCTGGTAACGACGGCCCACAACGGATCATGGACAGCAGCGTGGTCAGCGGGCATAACCCACGTAGACCGCCAGCCAATACAATGACCTTTCAGAACAATCCTCAAGCCCGCGCTAGACCTGCCAGTGTTATGGGTTCATCTCCACATGTCAGAGGGGTCATTTCACGACCCCCAGGGGAGGGCAGACCTCGCTCACAGCTCGGCGGACCTACTGGGCCCCCTCTGAGACGACAGAGTGCTGGTAGAGACGACAAGGGGAATCTTCATGGGGATCAGAATTCAAACAACAGCAATAACCACCAGTACAGCCGGCCCCACACAGAGAGGCCAAAGTCTGTCCCTCCGCAGCTGTTTAACAAGTCGAATGACCCTGGAGGCAGTAGTGGCGTAGGTTATCCACCGAGAGACATGCCCGTGCCACCTCCGAGACGTGGCAGGGACCAACTGATGCGGGATGAACGAGGATCTCGCGACGACCCGGATGGAGGGGATTTCCGAGATATCCCTCCACAACAGCAGCAGCAGATGCCGTCAGTATCTTTGATAAGAGAACCGAGTCGGCCAGGGTCAAGGCCAAGCGTTCAGTCGATGATTCGTGATCAGGAGGGACAAATGCGTCCCCAGCAACACTCCCCAGGGTCTCAGCAGATGCCAGGTCGCAACCCTTCTCTAGGCGGTGCCCGTCAAAACAGCACTGGGAGTTTGCCGTCCCCTCTTCAAGATCCTCGCACTCCGAGACAACATGAGTCCAACAACCCCAGTAGCTCGCGGCCCAACACGATGGGTCAAAACTCTTCAAGACCCGACTCTTTGCCTTTAACTTCTCATCGAGAAGTCGGCCAGTTAAGCCACTCAGCGAATTCAAACCATCAGTCAGGATATGGGACAGTTGGAGGCAGAGCTCAGCAGGACTCGTACATGACCCGTTCTCAGTCCAGTTTAGGTCGTCCAGTAAGCAGCGCTCCCTCTGTGCCTCAGGGAGTCCCCTATGGAAGAAGCAACACCCCAGGCCCTCAGCCAGTGCGGCGAGAGCCTCCTCGGAACACACTACCCCCCAGAGATGTCAAAGATGGGTCGAGGCCGCTTAGGGACTTCTCGGGATCTGGCTACCAGCCCACCTCTAATGCAAGTGGACCTGGGTTCGATCCAGGTCATGATGCTCATAGGGCATCGGGACAATTCCGTGGAGGTAGCGAGCCTAGAGATATGCCAGCTGGGCCTTCAAGGGGCGGTGTTGCTGCTACTCATGGGTACCCCCCACCTGCCCATCAGGACCACCGAGGTGTTGACCCAAAGAGCAACTACCACAACCCTCCTCTCGCCCCCGCTCACCACCATCAGAGTCATTCCCAGGGTCCTCCATCCCACCGGGGCAGCGTGGGTGGCAGTAGCGCTGTTGGTTCCTCCAGGGTAGACGGCATCTCTAACGGGCCAGTTCAGCCGCAGTACGGCAACTCCAACCTCCCCCCTCCTCCACCAAACTCGTCTCAACAGCAGCAGCATCAGCAAAACACCAACAGCATTCCACCTCAGATTCGGTCACAGGGGAAGCCCGTGTTGAACTCTCCTTCTTATGGCCCTCCTCCGCTGTCGAGCAGTAACAAGGGGTCACAACAACACCCGTCCCAGATGAGAGGAGAGCTTGGGGATCTGTGTTCCCCTGACCAAGGTCCCAGCATTCCACAGTCATTGCCTAGCCCCGGGCCGATGAAGTCCCCTGGCGGTCAGAACCCACCGCCTCCAGCGGATAACAGGGATGCAGGGGACGGCACACAGCCCAAGCACTCCAACTCTATTTGGTATGAGTACGGCTGTGTGTGATTTTGATTCGAAATGATTTTTCTCCACAGCTCCCCCTCCTCTTGTTCTTTGCTTGTTTATAGTGCTTTATCCTCTCCAGTGCTCCTTACATACCGGCTGAGAGCCTTTGGTCTGAGAGCTAAAGACTAGGTGTTTAAATCATTTAGCCACCTCACACAAGGGGTATGTCTGAATGAACAACTGATACTTTGAAATGAAATGCTTATATGGGTTGCAAAGTCCTCATTACAAGTTACATACATTGACGTGTGTGTTTGGAGACAGGTTTTTTTTTTTTTACACAAGACACATCTGTGGTGTCGTTGCCAAGATTCAAGTGCCTCACCCAATTTGCGCAGATACTCATACTCATAGCATTTTGACACTGTGTGCTCCCAATGGTAATGCCTATGTCAGGGCTCTAAGCTGTTTGTCAGAGATGACTTACTTTCCATGTTCTATGATGATGAAAAATGTGGGAAGTGCACGTGTGTGATTATAACTTCTTTAACTGACATTCCTACTTCAGCCTGAAAGTGTTTTGCTCAGATTATCCTTTGAACAGAACTGTTGCATAGGTGTATGCAGTTGCATGTCTGACTGTTCTCCTATAATGTTTTGAAGAAAAAATGTATTTAAAAGCGAGAATAGAGCAAGATCTGGTATAAGACAGTATTTGACCTTGGTGCATATTGCACTAATATTGACAACAAATGTTAAAAGTCCATTATTAAGACAATTTACGAAAAATCATCTCAACAATGTTGAGTTTCTTTACAAGGAAGAAAATGCATGCTTTGACGCGAACCTGCGAATTATTTTCATAATACAACGGCGTTGTACACACTTCGCCTTTGAAAAAACAAAAACAGAGACAAATTATGTATAAGATCAGGCTTTCTTTCAAGTTCTTAATTTATGAAGATTTATCCAAAATTAACTCTTTTTGTAGTGTGAAAGCTCTGTTTACGTCTCTATATAATGGAACATCTATATCTTTGGTGAACGCTGTTTTGATCAATGCTGTCTCTTGACCCAGCTGAGCCTGTATTTGTACGCATATCGAGTCATTTTTGACTTGTTAATAAATCAGTCGGGTAATGACACACGAATTAGCCCTTTATATTGTTTCTGTTTTCCAAAAATAGGTTGTCCTGCTAACTGGTTTTTCTTGGTACTTTCTCTTTGATTTCTTTGGATAAATTGATTTTGATTTTGGAGTTAAATTTTTGTTCTCAATATGTTGCAACTTGTTTTCAAAGGAAGGTTAATTTCAATCAATCACTTTGGAGTCTTGACACACATGTCTCTTCACCACAGGAAAAGATAAGCTTCACACTTCTGTTTGTTTGCACAAGTTTTTGTATAGATGTGCGAAAACCACAAAAATTTTCAATTTTTTTCCCCTTGCTTTTCACTGTTGTTAGAGGAAAAGTTAAGATAACAAACACAGGGCTATTTTAGATACATGTGATGCTTAAGATGTAAATTCAAAGTGAGGGCTATAGTCTCGAAAACGTTTCTTCAGAAATATGGAATAGGTTAGGTTTGTTTGGGTTTTTTTGTGTTGTTTGGTTTGTTGTGTTTTTTCTGCTTCGCCTATTTTCTTTTGATGCTGTCAATTTGTTTTGCAACTGATGGTATGAATGATTTCTTTTGTTGCTCTAAGTTTTTTTCTAGAACCATCACATTGGTTGATATCCTGTTAAGTAATACAACTACCGTCATTAAAGCAATAAAATGCAAGCCTTGCCGGACGAAAATTCCTCCAATTTTCAAAGCAATTTTGATCAGTAACTGGTCTTTAAAATGTTCATGGCTTTGGTGCATGTTTGCTTCTACAGATAAAGGTGTGGGGACTTTCTTTTTGCACTGCCTTTCCTACCCCAGTATGTGTAGATATTAAATTTGACTTTTCACTACTGATGTGTAAGAGTGTGCACTTCAAAAAACAGGTATCATTTATTTTGCATATTTCACAATATGTATACTTAGCAACACATTAGGTTCTTTTTTTTTGGGGGGGGGGGTTAAATTATGTGTATCTGTTTTGCACATACTTTCGTGTCTCCAACTGCATGTGTTTGCTTTTGACCGTTGATTTGTTTTCTTATTTTGGCAGGCGACCCCGGTGGTCTTGAGCTACTTGGCATGCGGGAACCAAGCATGTGAATACTGTTGTTGATTTTGTTTTCTGTACTTTAGGCCACGCTCTACCAACTAAGAACCACCTACACTTACTTCTTTCTTTCCATTCAGCATGACCATTTCGTTAACGTTGTTGTGCCTTGAGCATTCGTACCCCTATTTGTTTGTTAATATTGTACTATTTATTTTTTCCTAAACCCCAGTTTGTTTTTTTCCTTGTGTTTGTGTTATGCTGTAGTAAATTAGGCTCAAGCTGTTTGTAAGCAATGTAATGCACTGTTCCCCTACCTCTTCTAATTCTGTATATTGTTAGGGCAAGGGTAAAACCATGCAGCTTCTTTTAAAAACTTATTATTATTATTTTTCATGTTTCTGATTGAGTTGCTTGGTTTTCAACTTGCTTTGACAATATGGCTTGTATATGCTCATGCCCATGGCTTTTGACATCTCACACAATTTGCTAATGTGGTGTCAACAAGACAACAATGGTTTTATCCGGCATTTTGTGTATTCGGTGTGTTCAGTTCCACCTGAAATATTATTTTCCAGAACTTGCCTCTTGCTCGAGTTTGATTTTACATTATTTTCGTGTGCTACTAGCATGTTTTCTTATCCATTGCACTCTTTTTAATAGCACCCTCCCCCCCATCTTTGTTTACTCAATCCTCACCTCAGTATGCTCTAATTGTTCTTCAAGTGTGGTCAATCTGTGACTCTAAAGCTCAGTGTGGCTGCCTGTCAAGCCTTTCCTCAATTCCTCTTTTTTTCTTGGCCTTGTTATTGGATTATTTTTTTTAATGTTTCCACTGCCACCCTTCCCCCTCCCCCCCCTACCCATCCGCCCCTTTTTTTTTCCAGTTGACATTTCTAAGCTTTCGGCAATCAACTTCCAGTGATTGTTTCTGGCTTCCTTCCCTCTAGCATTTCCATGTTCAGCATTTTTACCGCCTAGCCTTTTGGTATTTCAATTTCCTTCACCCAGTTGCTTTTTTTTATTTATTTATTTTTTTAATTAATAAATTTAGCTATACCAATTGATTTTGAACCTATCGTTCGGATATATAAACTTGCCTTTCCTTGCACTCTTTCACAGTAAGAAAATATTGGAGGGTAGTCCTAATTAATTGTGAATGGGTCCTAATTAATTGTGGACTGCATTGTGTTAGATATTTTAAGGTTTTATTTTTGTTTTTCACCTTATTATATCATTCAGTATATAAATCATGGCCTCAGTGTTGAAAGTTTCATTAACATAATATAGAAAGTGTGGAGGTAACGCCCAAAATCAAAAATGAAAAGTATGAATTTTCAACTTCTATCCAATAGACTGCATTCATTTTGCTCTTCTTTGGTAATTTTTTTTCTCTTTTTTTAAAATGTATTCTTCATTTTCATTTGTTTTCTTTAATGAGTGGTAAAATAACTCCAAAATGCATAAACCATATTATGAATTTGTTTTGAATATGGTACCTGTTAAACTCTTAGAGAAAGAAGCTTTGGTCAAAATCTGTTGCACGTACCTATTAGACAATGTACTATCAATTGATAATGGCTTTTGAATTAGGTTTCAAATTTTTGGTTAAGTCATTATAATACGAGTACTGATTTTGCTTGTTGTAATGGCATGCCAATTGATATATGACAAAATTACTGAAAGGGTCCCTCAATGCTAGGAGAGAAATATGGACTTCACAATATCCTCTTCCCACCCTCAGCCCCAACGCCTCTCCATGCACCCATTATGTTAGTTTTTTTTTGTTGTTGAGGACATGGAAATTGTAACAATGATATCTAATTGTACAAAGCTCTACGATGCGACTGTGGATCTTGCCTCCCCGAACACTTGCATTACCAGACAGAAATATACAAAAGTGTGTCTAGAAGCTTTCCTTGGGTATGTTATTTTATGCTAGTGCTTGCTTTGCAGATGTACCACAAAATTGTGGAGACACTTTGACTTTGAAAAACCTTGCAATGATCAGTACATTCCAGGACTAACTCTTGCTTTGTACAGAATTTGTGATACCTCGCCTATCTGATTGCTCTTTGCTCTTACTTTGTGTGACACTGACCCAGCTTTAAGACAACCCCAGATAGTGTACAGTGGTCTTACTATCTCCATGGGGTTTTTGCTTCCGGAACTTCTCCTCTCAGACTCCCAAAGTTTCCTGAACATGTGTTCAAATATGAAAATGTAGAATTTGTAGAACTCGTAAGAGATTAAGAGATAGGGTGCAGGTTGTCAGGTTTTGACAGTAAATGTTATAATGGGGGAATAAGTACATTTTGAGGTTTGTGTAATCTACAGATGGGGAACCTGTGGATACTGCATGTCTACTGTTATTTTTTTTTATGGAGATGACTCTTGTCTTCCCCCCCCCTTAAATTGCAGGATTATAATATGTTACAGCTGTTTTGATTTTTGATTTTATTCATATCACATCAGATGCATCATTCAACCACATGCAGGATTGAGGGATTGCCAATAGCTGTACTGTTTGATACTGTTCAAAAAATTAGTTTTGTATAATACAAGGGAATTCTGAGGATTCCAAATAAATGCGCAGCCTGATACTCTTTGAAAATTGTGTGAAATTTGAGGGCAAATCCCTTCTATGAAGGACCCTGTAGGCCTGTCTATTATCACCATTTTGATCTCCCTTGTTATTTCGTTTGTTAGTATTTCATCTTTTGTTTTTTTCTTCATTATCCCCTTCATCGACCAGCTTTATTTTTTAATTCATTGTTCATCCCTTCTTTGTTGTTAATCGGGAGCTTTTGTTCCGGCAACTGAAACCTCATGGAAATTCACTATAATAAGATATATGGTAGCACTGAAGGTTCTGTTACTTACAAATATTCCGCGTCTCGCGGTATTAATTGGTGAAAATGATTATAATTCGCCTAGTCTCTCTTTCACTACCTATCGCTTTGTGCCTTTTTGTAGTGTTTTGTTTTTAAACTCTCTCTCTCTCTCTCTCTCTCTCTCTCGCTCTCTCTCTCTCTTTCTCTCTATCTATCTATCTATCTATCTATTTGTGTTGTTGTTTTCTTCTGTCTGTAGATTTTTTAGTTCTTTGCGAGAGTCTCTCCTCATAGGTCCTTTTAATATCAACAATATTTCCCATTTGTAAAAAAAATGTGTCACATTATGATTATTTTTAACTTGTTCTTCAATTGCTGTCACATGATTTATATGGAGATATGACTTTTGACATCTCATGGTTTGTACAAATGTGTATCATAGATATGTTTGGATACAGAAGCATTCACTGAAAACTATTGAAGCTTTGGGGGTGTTCGTTTGTGCCTGCCTTAAAGCCCACCACATAAAATGTCACATTCAATCATCCTGATGTTTATGTTATATTCTAAAACACTGATTTATCCCCATATTCGACACACATCATAAAGTTAAAGAATATACTTAGTTGCTGGTTGTTAACTTTTACATCAATCAGTTTCATGTCGTGTACTTTTCAAAAACGATCTCACTTGACCTACATACCTTTTTTTTGTCTCTTTATTTTGAGCCTTTAAGTTATTCGACATTTTTATGACTTCATACCCAGATGATACAATATGTTAAACGAATAATCAATAGTTAGTATCACAAGATAATTTTTTTTTGTCTCACTAAGTTTTACTTTTTTCAAAGTCAAAAATACTGTAGACATTTTTAAAGAAGTTGAAATGTGTAAGATATATGCCAGTATGTTCATTGTTTAGCACATTTTCACATTTAATTTTCTACAATCAGGGTTGTAGGATCCGTCCAAGAAGTTTTGTGAAATGAATGAATTTACTGGGGCAATCAAAGGTAGTCCATATTATTATACGGAATCACAACTTCTAAAATCTCGTATTCATATATTATATATATTTAATTTTGTATAGCGTCAAGATTCTGAATAGCATTCCACCAAGTTCAACAACTGTTTGTGTGTATTCTAGTTATAGCAAAATAATATGATGTACATACACAAGTGTGCAAGAAGCAGTATGTAGGATAGAAACGATGAATGGCTGTATGTGAGGATAGGATGATGTACCTCTGTTTGTCCGTGTCACAACTGGAAAGTAAGATTGAGTGACCATTGTTTTACTGCACAAGTTTCAACTCTTCATCGGTCAAGAGCTGTAATTGTTTGCCATTGTGATGTTTTACTTTTTTAAAGCATGTCATAACTGTGAATAAACTGCCAAAATGAATCATCTTACTATGGTGTTGTTTTCCAGTGTATAAACTGTTGAAGATGTTTCTGTATGTAATGGGCTTTTGGGGAGGATTTGTAAAAATGTATGGTCTGAAATGTCTGGACTCACTCAAGCATTTAATTTCTGTTGATGAATCCTCAAACTGGATGCATCTCTTTTTCTCTCCCCCACGCCCACACCCCTTCAACTGTCTTCGGTATTTGGCTTCTTTTTTTGTGTCTGTTTGGAGTTGAGGTTTTTTTGTGTTAAATTGTGTTTTTAGGTTGTGGGACCGGTGGGAGGGGGACGGGGCTGAAGCCTTGTTTATTGGATGTTCTGTCGACTGAATTCGCAGAAGAGCTTTGGAAGATGTACTCTGCACCCCGAGTTTTCTACTGCTACTCCTTACTCTTCTTCTTACTGCTGTCTTTCAGCCACACCCCTGATCTTCTGGTAGGAAAGATCTACACCTAGCCTTCTCGGACAAGGGCGAAAAATCTCGGAGG